GGCGGGGTTGGATGGGGGACTGGCATTGATGATGGGTAGTGGTGACATGCGTATATGTCGAAGCGATGAATTCCCAGTAATTCGGGGTGAGGAGATTTCCAGGGCTGCTGGTAGACAGGGATGGACTGAGTAGTGAGTACTGAGGGTTGTTTATGTTAGTTTGTACCGTGTTGATGAAAAGAATGTCTTAGAGGAAGGTGGGAAGGGTTCGTTGTTCCAGTAGGATGGATGGGTGGAGGGAATCTGTGTGTACTTAGATGTGTAACTGTATATGTCGGTGTGAAAGGAGCCAATCAAACTAGGTTGATAATGTCCAAAAATGATCAGGCCAAACTTCGTTTGATAGAATTTAGGTCGTTTTATACGTTTGCTTCATATTCGCCATTGGATACAATATCGATAAAGGCTACAAAAGAAACAAAATAAACTTGCGTTCCAGACTGAAGGCTGGACTCTGACCAATTGCGTATAAAAAACCTGAAGAAGGAATAAGTTGTCCATGGTTATATGTCTATGGTTGAATCATATGTGGTTCACTCGCATTTTTATTCTCTATTATAATATGAAGTGATATTTTTGGATTTTAACGATTCGAATGGTAGTTTTGCTATCGTAACCTCTCTTTGTATTTTGAGCTGACTGAATTTGATTCACTGATCGACTGTCGTCCTGAAACAAGGCTAAAAGGTCCGTTTTCCGTGTGTGAGTGGTATTAGGCATTAGAGGGGGCATTTGTGGACAATGGCTGTAAGCCGGACGTCAGTCAGCAGCTGTAGGATGTGTAATTGTGTCTGTGTGTGTGTGGGGGGGGGGGGGGGGAGAGAGGTCACTAGGTAGGTAGCTAAGTTCTATGAGTTGGAACGCTAGGAAATCACTGTTTATGAAAGGGGCATTTTGAATCAGACCCCAGTCGTGTGGACGAGGGGTACCGTGTGAAGACATTTGCTCATTGAAACGCAGCACTTGTTCGACCATGAAAGAATAAAAAAAATAGACAGCTATCAAAGAACGGTCGCTGTATGAATGTGCTTTTGTACTGTGAGGTGTGGACGAGGAGTTGGAGCGATGTGAAACTGGAGCACACCACGAGTGTAGACAATCACAGTTCAGTCTCCGTGGCCGGACGGAACCGGGAACCATGACTGGCGTTGTGCGCGCCTCCGTCCAGCGGCTCTTCACCGGCGTTCTCCGAAACACGCTCCTGTGTGTGTGTCTGTGTGTCTGTGTGTCTGTGTCGCACCGCCCCACTTTCCAGGTTGTGCTGCGCGGTATGCCGTACGCAGCACAGTTCGTGGTAAACGGGCGGCTTTAGCCAGCGCACAGTGGGGGATTTTTCCGATCTAGCAGTATTTATCGTAGCGGGCAAAACCATAGGTAGAATTGTAGCCAGATTGTGCACAGATGTTGGCTGGGTGTCCTGGTGAGAATTTTACCTGTAAATGTGCATAATCAACATAGATAGGGGGTTCAATTGGACCCCCCGCTCAGCGTTTGGCCTGATCAAGCTAGAGCTTCGCGGAAAAGTCAAGCGTGCTGCCTATGACGAAATTAGGCCGAATATATCCAATTTCAAAGTCCAAGGTCATAAGCTGACTTTCCAAGTCAGTTTAATGACCCAACTAAAGTTGGGAAATCGAGACCTCTTGAAACTTTGCAAAGTTAGGGTGATACGGGGTATTTTGTGGTGCTGATCACGAATTTCATGCTAGTTTGATCACAGACGATGTCTTTATGCATTTAGGCCAGGTCGGGTCAGGTCAGGTTAGATCAATTAGTAGGCGTCCTGCCGGCCATCCATAGAAGTGTCACCTACTACTGATAGCTTCGTAACATGAAACAAAGGCACTAGAACTACTTCGTAAATATTCAAATGGCTGCTAAAATCGAAATCAGCACCAAAAACTACCCTAGAAACAAGTCAAACTCGAAAAAGTGAACCAAGGTCATCAAAAGGTCAATGACCTTGACTTGACCTTCATGTGACCTTGACACCCACCATTATGCATGGCACCAACATCATTTCACATATTTGAACGTTTAAAACCACAAAAAGACTGGAAACCGCGGATAATGTGAGCTGGCATACGCCGAATCGCGATTCGGCCAAACATGGTCTCGAGAAATATGCCACAGGTCAAAGGTCAGTTGGGTCAGAGTCATGAAATTTTTAGGTTAGATGTAAATTGATGATCTCGAGGGTACCGAAAGTTCCGGCGTGATCGGCCGCTTTTTGCGCAAGTAATTTGCGGAAAACCATGGGGTTTTATCCGACCCCTTCCCCCTCCCCCTCCCCACAAGTGCGATGGTTAATAAGGTTACGGTATGTATAATTTACGCTTGTCATCCTATTCCTAATGAATGTGTCTCAGAAATATGCATCATATAAATCACGAAGTAAAATTATTCGCCTATGTCCGGAACATACCTATATCGTGCTGTTTGCCCTAGCGCTCCTCGAGTGGGGTGTTAAGATACTCTAATGTGAATATTCCGTGTTCAGGCAAGTTTCGGCAGCCAAACTAGGCGTTGTCTTGTGCAGAGAAAGTGGCGAATTCGATTGGATATATTTCGGAGTGGAAAAGTGTGGAGAACATTGTTGATTTCCTACATTATTTAGAATACCATTCCTTCAATATGGTGTCTGTAAGGGTTTTTTGTAAAGGGCATTTTTGTGACCTTAGTAAGGTTGTGGCATACTTTCTGTTTGCCATTCCATTCCTAATAAAGGTGCCTTTCAGGCGATATGCAACTTTAAGACCTCGCAAGATTAAAACCAACAGGACAGGACAATGAAATTGAGCTATACTTTCGGGCCTTGCTGAGCCCATTGAGCAATCACGCATGAGTGTGAACTTTGGGCGCATTTTTCCTAGTTTTGCTGTGGACATACAGATAAAACAATGCCATATATGAAAAATTCAGACATTTCTTAGCCCTACTGACACAAAAAAAAAACAAAAATCCAAAAAAAATTTTGAATTAATAGGCGCTAGATCGGAAAAATCCCCACTGTGCAGCGTCCCGGTGGAATATTTAAACCTTAATTGATTTCGAATAATAGGGGATATGTGATAGCGGAAAGTACCGGTTGTTGGTATCATATTCTTTTGTAATGAAGAGCCAGGTTCTAACTAGCTCTTAGATTTATTTTACAAAGCGTCGTTGACCCCATAGGTGGAAAGGCGTCCTATGTTTTATAGCATAACTTTGATATGTTGGTTTATCCGCCCGAAACCCGAAATGCATGTCGCTTCCATGTCACAGTAATAAATACGCTCGATATAGCTCGTGTTGCGGATGTTCTATCTCAACATTTGTTCAAAATGCTCACTAGTTATGTAACGCAGTACGATTTAGTAACACAGTATTTGTATGAACCTCTATGTAGAACTTTCTTTCTGATGTGTTTTCCATTGATGACTGACATATAAGGAGTTGCCTTTTGACATGACTATGTATGATAATTGCTTTCCTGTCTTGGGCCCTTTCATTCGGCAACCGGAATGTTTTCCGTCCGGTACTTCAATGTAGTGTCAGTATGGCCTTTTTATAGTAAATGGTCGTTAAAAAAAAAAAACACCTCATAATGTGTCGCGTACTGGTGATCTGTTCTTTTTCATTTCATATTGTCTCGATGTCGACTGATAATATATATAGTCGGCGTGTACAGTCGTAACTTCTCGTACCGTGCTCAGTGCGATACGGGTCAGGTCAGCGCAGCCCACCCTGCTCCCTCTGACAGCAGTTGACTGTTGCGTTGCAGTTGATTCCAACGACGTTCTGTACGGTGGCGATCCGCAACTGCTGGCCGAAATCAACTCACTGGCCGATGACGTCATCAAAGCTGTGACGTCACATCTTGTCAGCCAATCACCACTGAGCCGGGCTCAGGTCAGTGTATAGTTCTATCGGTGAATGAAAACGCGCTGATGTCGTTTCTTTCGCATCATTCATTATTTGATTTAATTGATTTAATTGTACCTTTCGGAAGACAGTAGTATTGCATGATTCCGTGTGATATGCTTATACACTGGGTAACATACCAGGCAACAGTTAGCCATGACATGGTATAACGTTGCTTGCTATGGAGAAGTCAATAACTTAGCACTCCAATTTTAAGACAAGTGGTTGCAAATTCGGACTTGTTGCATCCCAACTCGAGCGTTCATCTTCTTCATATCTTCTCAGATGATAGCTCTTTGAATGCTTAACCCATCAGGTTTTCTCACTTATTTCGCTGCACCCCTCTCCCTATCTCTCCCTCTTTCCCTCCCTCAGCCCTCTCTCTCTCCCTCTTTCTCTCACTCCCCTCCGACCTTCCCCCACTAATCACCGTCGGACATTCCCCCGACTAATTATCCGTACAACAGTGATCGGCGCCAGCTCCGGGAACCATTCGTAGCGACCCCGCAGTGCCGGCGGCGCTCCGTACTAAAGGAAGGGATGTAACGACTGGGTCGGTGGTAGGGGTTTGTCAGGGTGATGGTAGGGGATTTGGGTGGGGGTTTGTAGGGGACATTGTCTTAAAAGTACCGCGCAAAGTAACGGTGGATCCATCAAGCCTGATCGAGGAAGGGCCTGCTATAATTTGAGTCACCGAAGCAATTGACATCCTCTTCCATTCCCCAGGTCAATTGGTTCGGTGACTTTCAAAGTATACCAGGCCCTTCCTGGGCTAGGCTTGATGGATCCACTATCACTTTGCGCGGTACTTTTAAGACAGACTGTACGGGAATATTAGGACGTTTGTAGTTAGGAAAATGCTATTGCTAGGACATGGAAAAGGCAGTGTTTTGGCGGGAAGATGGCAACATCGGGTAGTGATAGGGATTGTTGACACGATAGAATGCTGAGTAATAGTTAGCAGGGCACTCAGCCGGTAGAGCATGTGAGAGCGTCGATCGGGCGTTCCGGAGGGTGGTGATATAGCGATGGGCTTAGGTACTAGTAGGGCGATATCAGGCGATTTAGGCAAGGCAGTGAATGGCGATATCGATGGAGATGTTTGACGATGTTATGGCAATGTTAAGTCGATGCTTCGGGCATGTTAAAGCGATGCTTTGGCGACGATTGGATGATGCACAATAATGTTAGAGCGATGTGTTTAGACGATAGTTTAGAGGGCGATTTTAGCGCAATATTAAGGTGATGCTGGATCAGTGCCTAGGCCGATTTTTAGACAGTGAATGTTGGTGATGTTTAGAGCGATGTTGCCTGCATTGGACGATGAATCGCCGGGTCGGTGTCCGGCGCCCTCAGCTGCGGTAACGCCGCCCCCGACTGCCCCCACACCCAGCGCCAGTTCCGTGAGAGCGGCCCATCGCGTCGACGGCACGGCGTTCTCCGTACATCTACTGCGCGCTGGAAATTGGACGACTGCACTCGGCCGAAACACGCCCGGCTCACGCCGAGTTCCACAGCGAGCGAGTGCGACTCTAAAACGCTAATGGCCCGGCAATGTTTCACTAAATTATCACCGGTCGGCAGGAGGTTCCCGGTACACTCGGGGGCAGATTGATGTTCCACCACTCCCAACCCATCGGACTCCCATGGCTCAGCACTGGCTGCTGCCAGTGTTGCCTGCCCTCAGCACTGCTCAGCACTGCCTGCCAGTGACACTGCTGCCAGTGCTGCCACTGGCAGCAGCCAGTGCTGAGCCATGGCAGCCCGATGGGTAGGGAGTGGTGGAACATCAATCTGCCCCCGAGTGTACGAGGAGGCACCATTAGTGGCCGGTGCCGAGCGAGACAGGCGCTTGTGTGGGTGCTTACCACTTTTTGCTCGCTGCGTATGACTTACTGGAAACATTATTTATGCTCGGTTATGGAGGTTACTGATTCTTAGTAATCTTAGTATGGAGGTTTAAGCATCAGCTTTTGCACCACCACCTGGACTATCTGCTTATTTCCATTTTATGTCTAATAAATGTGTTTTGTTGTTGTTGTTGTTGAGGTTTGAATTAATCTTGCAACACAAAACACTAGCATGATGTGAGAAAGTTAATGAACAGTAACTCGTTTTACGTTTATCACTTGTTTACCGTGCACGGCAATTAAATTATTTCGCATCTATTTGGAGCATGTTGACCACCTCATTATGTCACACAATCGGATGATGTAAATGATCTAATGAACGCTGTTCCATTTAACGCGACCTCACTTGAAAACTTTATTTGGCCTTTTCACAACAATTATATTTTAATTAGCTCCCTCCTTCCCGGACCTCGACATTGACCAGTTCTTGGGATCACTTGTTGCCAGTTTTTGTCGTTTGCTTCTGCCCCGGGGGGTGTGGTCGGGCCTGCGTGCCGTTCACTGCGGCCGCCGGCTGTTCCGCGGAACCCATTGGCTCTCTCCGGTCCGGGGGCGCCGCAGCCACAGCCGCGCGTGCGCCGCGCTCGTCCACCGGCCGTGTCATTGCCAGGTCACTGACCGCGCGCTGTCATTGGCCGTCGCCGCCGGTGGCGGCCGCTGATTGGCCGCCCGCGGCCGGCCCGGCCACTGATTGGTCCATTGCCGTCGGGCCCCGTCGGGCGGCGTTCTGTGAAGTCGGGACGCGGCGGGCGCCGTTCTGCGGATTGGTTTCGGTGAACTGCCGTCGCCGGTACCGGCGGTGACTTTGTTCGTTTGCCGCCGCCGCGCTCGAACGCCATTGCCGCAATACAGAAACTCGTAAACACGAACTGCGCTTGCACGCGCGATTCCGCGCGCCGCCCCGTCGGCGGGTTACGCCCATGCGGCGTTTCGTTTGGTGGCATGTCGTGTCTGAAGGCTGTCATTAACGATTCGCCACCGTTCTGGTGACTGGTGGCACGCCGCGCCGCATCCGTCCCATCTGCGCCACCCATGGTTCCGGCGAGGTTTGAGTGCCTGCCCGGGCCCCCGCCGTTCGTGGCGTGTCGACTGCGACTCGAATCGACACCTGGGAGACTCGGCGGGACGATTAGTCGCGGCTGCTATTGCGAAAATGCACTTCTGGGTATGTGTTTTTGAAACGGTCGCAAAGGCTGGCATTAGAGGCTCATTAAAGAACATTAGAAGCCATTAGTGGCGGCAGAGAGTGGCCGCCTCATCGTGCTCTCCGCGGCGTGGGCTTTTCGTCGCGGTACCCGCGCTATTTTCACCGTGATGCAATATTCACGAAAGGTTTTCCACGAAACGTGAATTGACCTGGCACACTAAACTGACGATGTGTTGCGGTGCGTTCTCCAACTGTTCTCGTTTCACGCCAACTGCCTGAAGTGCCGCGTCTAATCTCTCTCTCTCTCTCTCTCTCTCTCTCTCTCTCTCTCTCTCTCTCTCTCTCTCTCTCTCTCTCTCTCTCTCTCTCTCTCTCTCTCTCTCTCTCTCTCTCTCTCTCTCTCTCCCTCTCTCTCCCTCTCTCTCCCTCTCCCTCTCTCTCTCTCTCTCTCTCTCTCTCTCTCTCTCTCTCTCTCTCTCTCATCTCCCCTACATCTCTCCCTCCCCTGTGTGTCTGCGTCTCTTTTCCCTCTGGCGGGCTGTGGTCCACGTCATGAATCGTGCCTCATCACGTCTGTCTTCACTCTCTCAACCCTTCTCTTCTCTAGTCGCGTCAACCGACTTTTTTCTCTTTAGCCTTTGTCTTCCCACTTATCCTCGATGTAGTCGTGTCTCCTCATGTTCTCCGTCTCTGTATGTCTCTTCATGCGGCCTGTGTCTCCTCTGTCAGTTCTCTCTGTTCTTTCAGTTCTCGTGTCTCCTTTTCGTCTCAATTTTTGTCCATTTACATTGTCATTGTATTGTCATTGTCTGCGAGAAAAATGTCGAACTCTTCTACATAATCTCCTTTCCGTCCCTGTGTTTCATTCTCTCTTATTTCATGACTGTTTTCTTTACTCTTCTCTCCACCTGTCTCGTTTGTTCTCGCTCTGTTCGTTTTTCTCTCATCTCAATCTCCACATGTCTGTCCATCTCTGCACGTGCCGCTGCCTATCCGCCCCCCGTGTTCTGACTGGCGCTCCTCCATCACGGAGCGCTGACGGGCCGTACCGCCGCCGACGCTCGTAAGTGACGGCTCACCAGTGTCGTATCGACCATTAGCGGCCGTAACGACGGCGTCGTAACGCGCCCGCGCCCGTTACGTCCGTTATGGCGGCGGGACACGCCGGTGGCGCGGCGCCCCTAAATCGCCTGATATCATACTAAATCTGCTACCTGGACACTAAATGTGCCATTCTGCCAGGGGTGTCGTTTTCCGAAAATGATTGGTAGTGCCCAAAGGCGGCGGCTGGCCATATATGACGGGGCTTACAAGGTAGGGTACCCCCAAATCTGCCTTTCTCATCAGATTTCGGCCAGTTATTTTTCGCCCTGGTCATTGACAAGACTAACCGAAATCTAAAAAAAAAACACAAAAAAAAACTTTGGAAATCTGGGTCCACACCGGACGCCATGCACAAAACGTGCAGTTATATAGGCAATAGTGTCGGAGGAATGCACGCCATTCTGAAAGAGGCCCACATCGACTTAAAAGGACGGCTGTGCTGAAAGGGGACAGGAACAGCTTTGAGGACCCAAGCCGACTAAAAAGACGGCTGCGGGGCCAGGAACGGTTTTGAAGACCCACGCCAATTGAAGGGTTCGACAACTAACGAGGACTTGAAACACAACGATAGTTAGAAAGACCTGCTTGCCAAAATAAAAGGATGACAGTACGAGGGGCGTTCAGAAAGCTACGGGCCCGACCATGAAGGAGCAGAGAGATACAGCATCGACTCATTAGACCAAAAAGTTCATTTATTCAAATAAACACCGTTAAGACAAACACATTTCGCGCAGCGCTTCGCGAGAGCCCTCAAGGCCTCCATAACCAAGTGGGTTTTGGACCCATCCTGCACGTCCAAGACGGCTGATTTCGTCTCCCTGCTGTTA